ATTCGAGCGTTTTTCATCGCGAGTTTTGCGAACGCTTCGTACGATTTCTTCGATCGCAGCGGAGTACGATCTCGCCCGCGTCAGCTTCGCCGCTTGATAACACTCTGTTCCGCTGAATGAGAGTAAACGGCTGAAAAGATCGCGAGCCTGATAAGGGAAATATGCAGCCCGTCCGTGGGTTTTACATAATCCGATTACAAAGTAACAGGTTGAGACGGAAAGCGGGCCCGCTGGTCGAGCGTGTGCGTGCAAGACATTCGAGAGGGCTGATCGAAAGGAATGTCAAGTATAATGGAAACTCTATATTGTAAGCCGATACACATTTTATATATTGTCTAACACAACTCGTCTGTGGACTCAGGCTTACGCTCCGGATTACTTCTCGCCAGCCGATCTTCTAACTTCATACTCTGATACGCTTTTTAAGTGCGAATATTACGAACCGGGGTATCCTGTTCTGGGTATGCAGCTTGCGGCTGTTGCATCACGCGATGACTTTCGATCGTTTTGCTGTTACTAAACCCGGTGACAGTGTTTCTGTCTGCCTTCGCGATTTTCTGTGGACTGCGGTGGTTTTCTTTGAAAGTATTCGCAAGATTGAGGTTGATCTTCGTCCCTTGTTTTCGTTGAGGTTCATTGAGTAATGTGAAATTTGTATTGGAAAGGTAAGATTTGGTGAAGTTAGTTGGAAATATTCACTAGCTTGATTACTCGTTTAATTGAATACTTAATGTATATTAAATCATTCGATTTAATATTCGAGTTATACTCGGAAAAGTAAGTAATATTCAGATTTGCTGAATAAATTGAATACTTAACTGAATACTTAACACTAGAACTACCGAGCACTTGAATTAATCCTTGATAATTTAACCCTTTCTTTATAGAAACTGCAAACGTGGATTTATTAGAATTCGAGTGGCTTTAAGTTTCAGCTTAGATATTACTTAATTTAGCTTGTTTAGTAATTTCTCGAAGAGGTGTTCGTACCGTTTCAGTAATCACGAAAGAAAAAATCAAGGAATGGAATGTTGACCTATCTGGTGGTTCTAGTGTTAATATATATATTAAATTATTCGATTTAATACTCGATTTATATTTGGAAAAGTTGAGCAACGTTCAGATTTGTCGAAATCAGTTGAAAATATTCACGAGCTTGATTACTCGTTTAATTGAATACTTAATATTGAATACTTAATTTATATTCGAAAAAATGAATCATGTTTAGAAATATTCGATAATTTTATATAAATTATTTCGTATTATGAACAGTTAACGTCTGGTACAAACGTAAGGATAAAATAAGTATACAATCCTTTTCTTTTTGTAATGAATTATTAATGATAACACAAGTTTTATCATATACAGTTAAGAAAGAGATCGTAGGAGGATTTTGAACCGATGATCACGAAGATGTGTATTTTTCTGAAATACATGGTTCACAGAGACTCAAGTAAAGTAGAAAGTTGTTCGTTCGCTTGTTTATTAGATAGTTCCGTTGACTTTCTCGTATGCTTCGTCATAAATGTTTCCAGTACGAAGTATTATTTGGTACTTCGCGGTCGACGCTTTCAGATGTGTGGCGAATGAAACAGAGTGGAACGGAAGACTGTGTGTTCAAGAATGGATTTCGAATTACGCCTGACCCTCGATTTACGCGGACTTTTTTCGCGCGAGCCTGCTTTTTACGCGGTAAATTAGAACACTGTTAACGCGGTAGTTTTTACATGATATAAATATAGTAACAGCGAATAAAATATACTTTTTTTTTCTAAAATGTCATTATTATTATTTCTTTTCTTAAGTTATGTATTTCTAAAACTTATACCAGCTTTTCTCTTCAATATTTCGTTTTCTCTTGCACCGACAGCCTCTATTTACGCGATTCTCGTGTAAAACGAACCTACGTGAAATGGATTTTCACGTAAATCGAGGTGTACCTTCATTGTTAACCCTAATCGGACCACGATGTGACTTCGAGTGACATTTGAACTTTTTACTGAAATTTTTTGATTATTTCATATCGCATTCCCGAAAGTTCTTTTGGGCTTAAAATTTTGGCCCTATGAACGAAAACAATAACATTCCGATCATTCTTGTTATTCTTATAAGCGACTGAGAGTCACATCGTGATATGATTCGTTATAAAAACGCGTAGTACGATTAGAGTTAAACCTCTGTAGGCCCATGTAACGTTGTAATCACATGTCAGTATATTGGAATCTTGTTGATTTATTTCATTTTGCGCTCAAAGTGGCGAGTGAAATTAAGTAATCAGTTAACTTCAACTTTTATACGCTCAGGCGTGAAAGTTTAACGTCATTGTAACTTGAAAGTTACAAAATATACTCGTTTGATGAAATTATTGAAACTATTGGATACATTGTTAACTCGTATTCATATGTGGATATTTATTAATTTTGTACTGCATAGATTTTGTTATAATCACGAACAAAAATTCGGCCCATAGAGGGTTAAGTCTAAGTTAAATTATTTCATATTGCATTTCCAAAAATTTTTTGGCCTTTTAAAATCTCGGCCCTATAAACGAAAACAATAACATCTTAATCATTCCTTTTATTCTCATAAGCGACTGACAGTCACATCGTGGTATGATTCGTTACAAAAACGCGTGGTACGATTAGAGTTCAGTCGGTTTTCTATTATACGCGGTGAACGAACATTACTCGTGTTTTTACCCTTTCATTCTCTCGGCGTTGTGGCGTTACTACGGTTCATTGAGTGCGCTGTGTTTTGCTAACTCGTTTGATACGCGTGGAGAACTATCCCGCTCTAAAATAGATTGTAAGGTGTTGCCATGGAATAACTATGTTATTCTACTGAATTACTATCGCTGCAGCTGTTTAGACAATTATACACTTTCCAGGCACGAAATTGTGAGAATTGGAATCTAGTTATATGATTAACACATTGCGCACTGGAAACGAGAAATCTCGCTTTGATTGAAACCTATCATTGTAAATTTGCTGACTGTAGTATTTAAAATGATATTGAATTTTATTGGAATTGATTACTTGTTTAATACTAATGAAATAATAATAAAATACTTATAAGTTGATCTTATTGAAAAATCGACTAGTTTTTTAAGGATCAACCGACAAGTTAACATTTAAATACGAAAATAAAAAATTTTTCTATTATGTCAAGGATTCTGTCAGTTGCGAATAAAACAGATATAAAAAATAAACTTGAATGAATGTTACTTGATTAAATTTATTATTGAATTATATGAATTGAATCGAATTATTTTCATTTTATATCATTTGCGCTCGTAAATTATACGCGGTCACTTTGTTTATTATTATTCATTTACTAGGGTGGAGAAAAAATATTTGTTAACCCACCATCGAAATCATAGATCATTAACATTAGAACTACCGAACAGTCAAATTGACTTTTTGAAATTTTTCTATAGAAACTTCAATAGTGCTATTGAGATTTCTGTTGATTTACAATTTGTTGTTTTATTGGTAAATCAATTCCTACAATTGATAATTAATAGTTGTAAAAAAAAGAAATCAGGCAGGGTCAGTTTGACCTCTCTAGTAGTTCTAGTGTTGAAGGTTCACCTAATTCATCCGTATAAAATGTAACAGAACGCAACCAGTAGAAAAACTCGAGCAAACTTTTCGTTTCATTGATGCAAATAAGAAATTTCACTTTCATTCTAGCATTTCATACTAGAAACATTCATAAACATATTCGCAGTCTACTAATCATAACGGTAGCTTAGTCAAGCTAGTTTCTTACGTCAGATTTATTAGAAAAATCCGTGTTAATTCAACTCTTTCGGTTAACAAAATCTTAACGAATCTTTCAATTTTAATTCAACGTTAACGATACAAAATTTATAGCGTACATTCCGCGAGACGTACAATGTTGCTCATAATTATTCGAACGTTTAAGTCACTCTCGAAAAAATGAAACCAGAATGGCAATACGTTAAGTATATTAATATTTCGAATATTACACTATTAATAGTATTTTTATTTTAAGTTATTTAAGAATATTATACCATTAATAGTATTTTTAATTAAGTATTTACCATTAATATGTAATTTTTCTAAGAATTATAAAATTGCATTTCCCAATAAAATCATTAAATTCAGACTTCAATACCAAATTCTTCATAACACATCATAAAATCCCGAAATATCGCTCTCTCAATGTACAAGACTTTCCTTAAATTCCTTACAAAAAGTATCAATATTCCATGGGAAACTAACAAATGCAAAAAGCAATCAATTGGAAAGAGTTAAAACCAGCCACATCGACGAAAAGAATAAAACCATTAAAGCAAAGGCATCAGTAATTCACTTGGCATCAGTAGCTATCATTCTTCAGGAAAAGTAAAAAAGTGCAGTTTCTAAAAGTAATAATAGTTTATCGCGAAAACTAATCTATTTCATTAACGTTGGTCGTATGCAATTTTCAACGTGCAACGAACTTCATTTAATTCCTATTTATCCTCTTACTTCTAATTCTCATAACTATTGAAAATGCACGATATTAAAGTAACCACCTTAGTGTCTTCAGTCTTACTACAAGCGGTCAACTGCTAACTAACATATGGTCAATCACTACTTTCCTCCTCCTAGAACGGTCAACTTCTGACGCAACTATCTTATATTCAAAAATGTCTAAAACCGGACTAACATATCTCGAAAAAGTTCTTATTAAACAAGAAATTCAAGCAGCATTACGATTATTCAGACAACGTTTCTTAACTGTTCATTGATTTTACCTTAATTATTATTAACCTCGCACGAACATAAAGCATATCGTTCGAATAAATATGAACAGCATTGCAAGAAGTAAGGGTCGAAAGAGATTTAGTCACAGTTCGTAAAAAAATGTTCTCCATTCCGAGGGTTCAACGGGGGTTCACGGGAACAAGAAGAAGAATAGGAAGAAAACGAAGGAGACGAAGAAGACGAAGAAGAAAAAAGAGAAAAAGGGGAACACTTTTGGGTACTCACGATCACTGCGACGCGCATGGCCGTGTCCCGTGGTCCCGTATTCGCAATGGTGGTCACGCTGGGTGTGGTGCCGGCGCGTTTATGCCTCACACTACCGCGAACGACTCCCCGTCTCCGTGTTCTTATACCTATATCCCCGTTTAAATTCCTATGGTACGAGCAACACGCAGGCCAACTTTCCATCGGCCGGCAGGAATTGTGCTCGGCGCGAGTACGAGACCGCGAAACGTTTCGGCACGCTCGCCATCCGGTATTCTCTAATTCCCCGCGTCTTATCAGCACCCTGACACCCGCCATCATCTTTTCCGGCCAGTCGAACCTGATATCCTATTAACCCCTTGCCTTATAACAACGTGCTAGACTCGTGGTGAAGATTTCTAACATGAGTCATCAAACATAAATATTACTCGGTTCATTTGAATTCAGAGGAAATATTCTTCTTCTGTAATTCATTAATCTATTTAGAAGGAAACATAGGCATAACATATGTCTGTAATTTGTTCTTTTTCCAACAAATTATTAATAACAATGTAATCGTATCGATCAGAGTTGAGAAATCATAGGGCAAGGGGTTAACACGTTGAATTCCATGGAAGTCACTTGATGATTATTTGAAAATATTTCTATATTGTAAATAATGTTAGATAATGTAGTGATATTCGGCGAAACAAACCTGGGATAGCAACAACGCTGTTCAATGAAATAATTTAATGTATCTTTTTTATTCTGTATATTTTACACGTTGAAATCGTGCGGCATTCAACGTGTTAATTCTTTGTACTCGAAAGGTGACTCTTGAATTGAGAGACAAAGCCTTTTTATTATACACAGTTCAGTGTTGAATATCAAATTTTATAGTTTTACTGCATTCAATCAAATGGTGACTGAGAGTCACCTCCCGAGTGCAAAAGGTTAACATTAGTCTTTGTGTAACGCATCAGTATGTAGGATATTGAAATGAAACAACTTTGTTCTTTAATTCACGTGTAATTTCTCTTTAAGTAACTTTTCAAAGATGTTTCTGTCTCGTCAGAGAATATGGAATATTTCTATCGAGAAACTCTCGAGTGCAAAGGGTTAATTCAAATATTTCATTCGTTGAATCGGTTGGTTCGCTTATTCGTTGAATCGGTTAACCCCTTGTCCTATCGTATTGGGTTCGCGAAGATTCTCCATTGAATTTGAGAAATCTGAATATTTCCTATCGATCCCTAACCTTTGGAGTGAATGTAGGTAACAGGTATTATATTCTTTTGTTTATCTAAGGAATTTTGTTGGGCGCAGTTCTGAAAATAATAATACAAGATTATGAATTCATACATTGCCAACGAGACATCCATTGATTAAAATATCTTAGAGACTTAGAGATTCTAATCTAAAAGGTACTTTAAAAATATTAATATATTCACAATTTATATAACTGAAATATAATGTACATTTGATTCAAACTTGTAAAATAATGTTTGCGTGATGGTCATTGATGCCTGAGCGAAGTGAAAATGATACCGGCCGTCGATGTCTTACCATGACGTCGACTGGGTACGAAAAATAGTGGTTGCAACATATTCGATGGTTATGAATCAAATCAGTTGACTTGACAACTATAGTTGCAAAAACCGAGGAATTTCTTCAGTTTACTAGCCATTATATCTTAAATCAGTGGTTTCCAACCTTTATGCTATTACGCCTCCCTAAACAAAATTTTATTTTCCGCGCCTCCCTATCTTTCAATAGATATAACAATATAGACAGGTTTGAAATAATAATGATTTTACTACAAAATAAACATTACTTCCCTGAATTTCTACTATCACATTACGATATGAAGTTTATTTATTTGTGGACATTATGGTATGAACATTAATTTTTATTACAAATTTTGGCGCCTCCCAGGTTGCAAACTGTGGCTCTAAATCCTTTTCGCCGATCCTTAACCCTTTGCTTCTTTTGAATGTCGACGTATAGAACTTTGGTACATCAAGTCATGAGTTACAAGAAAGTAATTCGATTAACGTATATAATTCAAAATATTTACTAAGCATAATGATTAACAAAACGTTAACCACTCGAGAGGTGACTCAGTAACCACTTGATTTAATTTGCAAAATTATAAAGTTTTATATATAATATCAAACTTTGTATAAAGCATCAATATGTGGAATATTGAAATGTCGAATATTTCTAAAAAATTTCAAGTGCAAAGGGTTAATACATAGTTTTCTTCTGTTGTAAATTATAAAATCTTATATATTATATCAAGCTTTATATGATGCATCAATACATGGAGTATTGAAATAAAGTAACTTTCCTTCTTAATTTATATACGTTTTCTTATTAGTTTCAAAGATCATCGTCTATATCTGATCGGAAAATGTCGAATATTTCTAGTGAACATTCGAGTGTAAAGGGTTAATAGATAATTTTCTTCTGTTGTAATATTTCAAAGATTGACGTGTAAGTTAGCTTCTTACGGGGAAGGTACTTAATGTTTCAAACAATCTTCGTCCGCACATGGTTAACCATACGACAGAAATGTACGTGAAACTCTCGTTAATGAAATGACGCAACGGTAACCCAATAGTCTGCGCCTCCCAGGTTGGAAACCGGTGTCCTAAATAATGGACTTCGCGTAATCAAGAAGCAGATAGCGCAATAACAAACAAGATCACTCGCGTGCCATTAAAAGTCACTCGGTGTGGTGTATAAAACGTGTATCCCATTTCTCCGCGATCGCGTAAGCCCAACGGGACTAGTCTTAATTGTGCCGTTACACAGTAGTCAGACTTGTAGTGGACGCGAGCAGTAAAAGCAGCCATCAGTATCGGTTATCTGGAGTTACCTAAGTGTTACATCTGTTTCGATTTCCGCCATCGTTGAAGCAGTTCACATTTCCCCGAGCCACGTGAAATTCTCGGATATAATAAAATATTATCGCAGCAATATTTTTCACTCCGTTACGTGGCAGCACTGGGAAAAAATACGTTCAACGAATTTCATTCAACTGTTCCATCGAGATCAGTGCACTCTTTATTTCTAACACTAGAAATACCTGATAGGTAACTTGAATTTTTCTTTATACAAAGTATAAGCATGTATTCATTAAGATTTTAATTGACTTCGATTTCAGTTCATTAGTGAATCAGCTTCGTTTACTATAGTTCAGTCAATTAAATTTACTATGGTTAAATTAGTTAAGTTAATAGTTAAATTATTTATTACTATAGTTAAATTACTATAGTTCACTCAATTAAATAATGCTACCTAATACGATCACATTCAGCTAGATCATCGTGCAATAATAATGATGCAATTCAATCAAATGGTTTAATATTGAATCTTTTTCATTTATAGATACAGATGATATTGTTTAAAGCTAATCTAACGATAATTCACAGATAAATTAAGCAACGAAGCTATTTTATTGAAATATTTCACAATGCAATTCGAAATTTAATTTAAAGTACTAAATCAATCAAATCAAATTCAACTTGATAGTTTTGCTGTATGAAATCAAGTGGTGAGAGTCACCTCTTGAGTGCAAAGAGTCAATAATGTTAACGCCGCGTCAGTCTTGGAAAAGGTAATCTTTCTCCGGTACTGCATGTTGCGGAGCTCAGCCATTTCTGCGCGCGCTTTCTTTCGCCAACGCCGAGAGAATGCTCTTGGGTACTTATCGTTACAGGGACTCCTAGGGGGAGACAGTGTCGGAGGCTCGGTTCCAAGGTCAGTGTCGGGGCTGTCTGCACTAATCCCGGCCGTGCACGGAACACGCGACAACGATGTCTGTAGTATAGAAATTCGATAAAATGTTTATTACTCACTCTATCAGTGGTCAATTTATATAGACTTCCGTTTATGCCTGACTTGTTTTTTTGAAGATTTCATTTTTTAATCAACGTTTTTGGGTCAACGTTGCAGAGTTGACCTTTCGTAGACAATTCTACTGGTCACATCAGGTACACGTGTCAATAATTCAAAGTTGTGATCGAAAAATCGAATTATGTAAACAGTGACAGACTTGTAGATACATTCCTTGTTTTCTAGTATTTAACATTAAGGTTAGAACTAGTTAAATTAGTAAAAATCACTGGTTTCGATTGTTTTGTTTAGTAATTATTGATATCTTCGACGCATTGGATATTCAAAATGATTTTCAAAGCAAATAGTTTCACTGGAGTACTATAATGAATGTCTGAAGAAACTGGGAATAATCTATTGTTACAATTTTTTTAAGGATTATGTATGAATCACATTATGCTTGGTAGTTCTAGTGTTAAACTACCGATTTACTGTAATCAATATGTAATTCTCCTAATAATTGTAACGATACATTCTTCCTCGATTTCCTCTGATATTCATTAGAATATTTAGTTAAAACCATTTATTCCCAAACCCATGCCAAATATTAAACTTCTGAAACATCAATAATAAATAAGAAAACAAACGCCAATCATTTCGCCCATCATAGTAGATCTACTATTAAGAGTTCGATGTCTAATTCAGTTTTCGGCATTTCTAGTGTTAACCGCTTGCCATACATTGACCATTAGGACTCATGATGAAGATTTTGGTATGAGATTAATAAACATCGATGTTTAATGCACACGAATCAAAGTAAAAAACTATTTTGCTATTACCAACATATTATCTTGAGATTAATCAGCAAAGAAGACAAAACAGTCCCCCGAGAGACACGTCTCATCGATCATTTAAACTCGAAACGCCTTCGATACAACGACGAAAATATTGAAATTGATTTTGACGATTCAGTCACAAGCTAAAAATATAATAACCAATTAGCTTTGATTTTGTTGTCTCTAATTCGACGAGAGAAAAAATTAATAGCCGGCGACGACGCGAGCAGTACGAGCGGCTGGTTGATCGTTGGATCATCAACGGCCGATTCCATCGTCTGTTGGACCTGGCCTGATTCGAAATGTCATTTTGACATAATCACGGCGCGTGCATTGTAGAGGCACTCGTAAAACACTGACAGAGCCCCCGCGCGAGAACCGTGCACGCACACTAGATGCAAATGTTACCAGAACATTCTCCACCATCTGAAACCAGTTTTCTCTTCGCGTCTCCCTCGTACTTCGTAATACGAGGCGTATTTCGTTTTCATGCTTCTTTTCTTTGTAATGTTCAAGGTCGCCGAGATATACTTACTTCCCCTTCTGACAAGAGTCGCACACTGA